GGAGAGAGGAATGAAGAGAGAGAAAAGAGGCTAGAAAAGTTACATGAAAATACGCAATAGATAGATGCTTATTTTTTTCTTCTGTTTTTAATTAGGAAATGTGGAGGGAGATAGCAAAGGAAAAAAAAAAGAACAAGAAAAAAGAAAAGAAACTGGAAAATCCTCTTGAAACCCGCTGGATAGAAGGTAAGGAAAAGGTGAGAAAAGACGAACGAAGAAAACAGAGACGACTAAATAAACAATGACGTTAGCAAATGATAAAAGGCTCATCAGAATCAAGACATCACACAAATCAAGACAAATTATTAGTCCATTATGTGATTATGTTCTCCCCTCCAGACCTCCGCGTTTTCTTCTCAATTAAACACCCAGAGCTCCCTAGATCTCAACACATCTCAACACACCCTTGCATCTTCCATCCTTCTTCCCTTCTCCCCCGCTCACACGCCAACTTCCCCTTATAACTCCAACCTTCCGTCGCCCCGTTCCGCCCCCATTCATGCGCCTCCCTTCCTCCCTTATCATTATTATTGATAAAAATAAATATCATAGCTTCTTTCTTTTCTTTTCTTTTCTTTTCTTTTCTTTTTTTCAGACCTTCTCGCCATAAAAACGCTTCAGCCGCACGACAGCATCCTTGTAGTCGTCCTTTGTCTCAATCAGAGTCTTCTTGATATTCGCTAACGAGATGGCCGCGTTGGGCTCGTTGACCGTGCCCGACTCGTCCTTGCCCGCGCCGAGATTTTGAATCTTTTCGCACGCTTCCTTCACTTTTGTGAGTCCTAGCGTCGCCGACGAGCCTTTGAGGAAGTGGCCTAGTTGAGTGATTTCATTGAGGTCTTTTGTCTCGCTGTTTTTCGCACGGAAGAAGGGAAAGTTAGAGATTAGTTTTTGATTAAATAGAAATATAATAATAAATACTAAATAATAACGTCGTCATCGTCATCATCATTATTTTATTTGAAATTTGAAAACAATGCAAAAAGCGTTCTGTCATATCAAGAATATAGCTGGAAGGTGGTTGGTGGTTGGTGGGCATTGGGGGTTATGACGTCATCATGACCCTCCGCCCACTGGGTTGGGGTGAAAGAAAGGAGGGGGGCGGAAAAGTGGAAAAAAAAAAAAAGCGTCTTGCAACGGATCGACTTACATTGCGCTCTCCATCTTCACGATGGTAGTCTCTGCCTGATCGAAAACCCGCATACAAGGCCCTTGCTGAATTCACGCGATGGATCTTCGTCGTCCATCTCGAGGATTTGTTCGAAGGTTGTTTCTTCGACATGGTCACCCAATGAGGCCAGGTCGGGGGCTTTGTCGTTGGTGGTTGGCTGTGGCGGCGGCTGCGACTGCTGCAATCGTATATGTGGGCACTTGTTAGCGGAAATGCGCGGTCAAAAGAGGGCAAAATATGTGAGATGGGAGGGCCGAGAGTAACGAGGCCTCTAGGACTCGATCTGACATACCACATGTGTCGTTGCTGAAGGCGCCATGTTTGAGGATGAGAGGGGGTTTAGTCGAACGGACGAGTGGGTTTGGTAGGCCAGATATGGCATTTATTCGTTTTATCAAGGACTTCGCCTGATATACATAAAAAAAAAATAATAATGAAAAGAATCGAAAAAGTCTCCTTGAGCAGTGACCTATTTGAGAACCCACGATGAAGATGCCCTCACGGAGGGGAAATTGAAAGCAAAATTATATTGCGACCGTAGAAAATGTAGGTATAATGGTATTGATTTGGTATTGAATCGACGTTGCTTCGTGTGGATAGGTAGGTTGCGTGAGGGCGGGCACGTTCTCGGAGTTCTATCGGAAAGTGAAAACAGTGGGAGGACGAAAACTAGCTCCGTCGAACAATACGCGGCAGGAAGATATATATGTAGTATGCAAGGCAGAGAGCCGAAGTCGTCGAAGTGGAAGTTGGCGTTGAAAGTGTATCGTTTCTATTTCTTTGGGGGTAAGATTAGGTTGTCAGCGATGGAGAATAAGTTCGGCTGAGAACGAAAAAAGAAGCGCCTTGAGGTGATGGAATTTTCGTGGCGAAAACCAACAGCCCGAGAGGGGCAAGGGAGAGGGGAGGGCAAGTTCTAGAATCGCGGCGCCGAACTCTGACTGCCCACAACGATCGATCGCCGACAACAAAACCCCCAGCAGCAGAAGCTATCCGCGCTGTCTCAAACTTTCCAACCGCTTTTATACAGATGATCACGCGCTCTAATTACATCCCAGAATATCTTGTTCTGTTCGATCTCTGTTCCTTGCACAGGAGGTTTTTCTTCGTAGTTGGATTGCACTTTCGCTTTGGCGTCACCGCTTGGATTGAAGCGGCAAAACCATGGCGCATGCACCGATGTCCCTCATTGTATATAGCAGCCCTATGAAGCAAGGAATGGAAGATAGGAGACGCAGGGGAAAATTGAGGCAAGAAATAGGCAAAAAAGAAGAAGAAGAAGAAGAAGATGATGATGATGATGCTGATGATGATGAGAGAAGGAACAGGGGAACTAACAGCAAATCGTGTCCGGTTTCAAGCAAGGCCAGCAGCACCAAGCGGAGCAGCAAATCGAATTGATGCCAGGGAGGAAATAAAAAAAAAAAAATATGACACTATATTATGGAGAAATAAAGTGAGTCCACATTCGACAACCCGCAATGAAAGGTGGGTTCCTCGTTTGTTGGGCGAAGGAATCTAAGCAATGATGGCTGGTTCGTGAGGTTGAGGTGGAAGTAGAGCATTGGTAGAGATCGGCGGCGGGTGAAGGTTTTTATAACGAACCCTGAAGTATGAGAAGAGACGGCGATGGCGATGGGGATGATGATTT